TTGAATTAAAAGAAAGATTGACCACAAAATTCAAGATTAAAAATCTGGGAGATGTAAAATACTTTCTTGGTATTGAGTTTGCCAGATCTAGATCTTTATTAATCATTAATCAGCGAAAATATGTACTCGATTTACTCAGTGAAACTGAAATGCTTGAGTGCAAAACAGCTGAAACTCCGATTGAACCAAATAAAATGTTACAAGTGACAAATAAAATAGATGGTGTCAATAAAAACCAATATCAATATAGATGGTGTCAATAAAAACCAATATCAGAGACTGGTGGGAAGACTAATCTACTTGTCACACATTTGTCCTGATATAACATTTGCTGTTAGTATGGTAAGTCAGTTGATGCATTCCCCAAATACTCCCCAAATACTCATTACTTGGAGGCTGTCTATCGGATCCTTAGGTGTCTGAAAGGAACACCCGAAAGAGGACTACTGTTAAAAAAAAATGAGCACTTACAGGTAGAAGCATTTACAGATGCAGATTGGGCTGGAAGTGTTACAGATAGAAGATCAACTTCAGGGTACTGCACTTTTATAGGAGGGAACTTAGTAACCTGGAGGAGCAAGAAGCAAAGTGTCGTGGCAAGAAGCAGTGCTGAAACTGAATTCAGATCTGTGGCTCATGAGATATATGAAGTTCTATGGAATTAAAGAATTCTCAAGGAGTTAAAAATTCATAGTCCACCACCAATAAATGTGTACTGTGATAGTAAGTCTGCCATCGCCATCGCCCACAATCCTGTCCTTCATGATAGAACAAAACACGTAGAGATAGACAAACACTTCATCAAATATAAAATTGACAGAGGAGATATCTGCATGGTGTATGTTCCCTCCAACGACCAAGCAGCAGATATTCTAACAAAGAGTCTTCACAAAAAACTGTTTGACGGTTTAGTATGCAAGCTGACTCTGAAAGATATCTTCATGCCAACTTGAGGGGGAGTGTTGAAAGATCTAATTCAAAATTCTCAAAATTAATTCAAAATTCAAAATTCAAATTACAATATTTATTGTCTTTTCTTTTCTACAGATATCATTCTCCTTCCTTATTTTTGTTTTGCTTAATTAGTCTTGGAATGTAATAGGAATTTCTTTGAATTTATTTAGTTAGTTTCCTTATCTAAGGAGGAGAGACTCCTATATGTAAATGCACATTGAAATTGAATTGAATCATTAAGAAAAATTTTCTCTTCAATTTCTGGTTTTATCTTCTTTCACTTTTCATACTCTGCTGAATGTATTTGATAAACAAGTTTGTCAGAAGGAATCAAGTTTGCATTGAGATCTATGGCTAGCTGGACCACATTGATGTATAATCATCTAGGAGAGGCCTCCTCTTCTTCCTTGAAAGGATCTGGATCTCATTGTATAATTTGCTTATCCCCAAAGATCCTAAGGTGATATCTCACGTTGTGGTTCATCCATCTTATCTGATCATCTATCGGTGGATACTCCATTGAATTGATTCTAATATTCAAATGACTCCATATAGTATTCCAGAGTGGTGCAAAAGAGTCATCTCTAACATGTTGGACCACTCTCAGTAGGGGCTACTCAAGAAGTGGATTATTTATCTGAAAAATATGAAATTCTCTTATCTGTAGCCATGTGTATGGTGTCAGTCAAACTTAGGACTATCTTTGACTACAATGTTAGTTCTGTTGGAGTCTCTTTCATCGACTCTGCTTGAACTACATTAATTTCTCTCTCATTAGTTAAAATCTGATACTTTTTTATGTTCTCATCTTTTTCAGTGTCTATTGTGTCATTGCCTATTTTTAATAGTGCCCTGCTCAGAGAAATAGATTATTCCTCTTATTGTGCATTATGATTCAATATGCTCAAATCTGTGACACTTAAACCATTTTCTGACTAGAATGAATTTGAAAAAGCGGATTGGTTCAACCTGTTCTCCACTTTGAATGAGTGTCTTCTCGGGCAAGGTCAGCTTGGGTATTCCGTTGGGTTTACTCTTGTTCCTTGATCATGGGGTTGAACTTTGCCTCTAAGATGTGGTGGTTTCCCTGTGAGATTATTTTTACACCTATCCTATCTGTAAAGGACTGATAGGTATTGACACTACATCTCTCTTTTCATCTTAAACCAGATGGTGATCTTGCATTTTCCCTCATACCGGTGTAGGTGTTTCAAATTTTTCTTCCAGAACAACGCACTCTTCTTTAACTTGCTGGCGAGTAGTTTTGCCATTTTGTATGGGGGACGTCCTAGTACTTAAAGACACGTTTCACTGTCCAACGCCACTCTTGAATTCGCCAGTTTTGCTCGGATCCATGTTTCTATCAAAATATGACAAATCCACTTTCATTTCAAAAGCCATACTTCATTGGTATTTCAGGCCAACTCTTTGGGGCAGGAGTCCTTCATCTTTGGAATCTGCCTTATGGAAGGGATCTATTGCATTCTTTTGATCTGGCACGTCACCATTGTGACTACGCGTGATTCTTTCGGATTGTCTCTTCTCGAAAGCGACAAACCTCTGTTATATTTTGAGAGTTTTTCACTTCATTATCTCTCTAGAAATCTCTTGGACACCTCTTTATGGATTTCTGTTAAATGGCATTGGAGCATTTCCTCTCAAACTAGTCTCTGAAAATTGTCTCTTCTGTGGTGTGGTTAGGTTTTGGGGTTTGGGTGGTGGAAGTGGGTCTATAGAGATAATTTAGGGTGGGAAAGAAATTTTTTGAGTGGCTAGTTTGAAAAATTAGCAAAGGAAGGAATTTAGTGCGGAGGTAGAGTTTGGTATTAGTAGATGCTAGAAACTCTAGGATATGATTAGGGTTAGGCTAGCTCTCATGCCAAATGATGCCGGTGTTAACCCAAACAATAGGAAAACTAATATTATTACTGAAACAAATAAGAGGTTATAACCAACACACTTGAAAGGAAAAATACAACAACTTGACACCCATAAATCTAAAATAGCAACAAACATGACACAAACACTCAAACCGGTGTAGATCTCGTGGTGGTCTAGGTGATCTCCGAGGATTTGGTCCTCCGGAGAAGTAGCAACAAGTGGGGGAAGGGCTAGAAGGCGTGGCGACAACAAATGTGTGTGTAACCACGAGGGAAAGGTGTGAAGCTGTAGGAACGACAAGTGCGGTTGCTTTCCTAGGGGGCGCGACATCGAAGGTGAGGAGTTGCGGCATTGAAAACGAGCTGGAATGAGAGAAACGGGTGGTTGGATGGCTGGAAATGAAAGCGAACAACAAAGTAGCAACAACGTCTGTTTGGGGGCTACTGCAACAATTGGAGTGCCACCAGGAGCGACATGGGAGGGAGGGATAGGGAAGATGAGCACCATCTCAGAAGATAGATATAACCAGAGCGCCATCCAAACCCTCATATACAATTCTCGAAGGGAGAAAATGGACGCCAACGGCTATGCTAAACAAACTTACCAAAAACTTTTATCTAAATTTTAATACAACACATATCTAAGAAATGACTAGAAAGGAATGAAAGGAAAAGAGGAAACTTGCTAAAAATTTGAAAGAAAAATAGATGAAGTGCATTCGGTTTGGTTTAGTCTTGATTGCAGGAGCTGGGTGCCCGATACTCACAGACACGAGATTGCACGTCCTTGTATGCAGGTGCTCCTGCATCAAGTTGTTTCATTCTTCTTTCTCAGTTTTCCATTTCTATTTGTTAAAATTTTTTATTATGTGATTACATGTTTCACCTGACTTGTTGATCCATAAGAGTGAAAACAACGCATTTTCTTAAAACATATTTTTTAAATGAATATAAATCTACCTCAAAGTAGGCACAAATTTAGCTAGAGATTTATGAACTCATGGAAGAAGCAATTTGTAATATCACACAGTGACCAGATTTATAATTGAAACCTCTAACCTAGAAATTAGGGAGCATATGGCTTGGTGTGGAAGCAGATAAGTGTGACCTATGTTTACATTTTTTTTAAAGATTTTCCAGTAAGGCAAGAGAAAAGCAAAAAATGTTGGTTGGCCTGAGAAAACCTATTATTTATACCTTTATCAGGAAATTCCTGCTTATTTTGTCATATTTCTATACTGTGTTTTTGTCTGTTTAACTGTATGAATTAGCGTTGGATCATTTGTTTGGCCAAATCTATTTAACTTCTTGCATGTTATACCGAGAACTCCATATAAAATTATATTCATTTTTTTAAGGTATAGTTAATTTCTGTGAAATAAAAAATTTGCGTGTCCGTGTTTATGAAAGTAAACTTTCTTATATTTACCTTTTTCAGAATGAAATATATATTTTTTCTTTTTTTCTTATTTCTGTATTATTAGCATATTTGTTGTTCATGAATTGTCACCTGATCTTGATTTTCTTAAAATTATGTGATACTATCTGTTGAACTTACTTTTTCTTCTTCTGATAATATCGATCATTACCTGCTTCAGTAGATCACAGGGACAATGTTGAAAAATATGATGCTTTGTCATCCGAAGAACAATTTAAAGGGTGAGCAATCCATCTGTAATTGTATTTTGTTTCAGCATAAAATGTTTGCAATCTGCGTTATTATACACAATTTCTTAAAAATTTTTGGAAACTTTTTGTCTAGTGCAAGCTTTTTGTTACTTCTGGTGGAATGCCACTAGCAAATTTATTGAGTATTAAGGAGCTTCCGCTTTCAAAAAATTCATTGCTACTTTCTTTCTAATTATTATAATACATTGCCGTTTACTTTTAGTGCATGTTGATTACCAGCATCATCAGTAGCTTGCCCTTAGATGGAAGTTGAAATTTGATTGTTTTATCGTGTGTCATACAACAACGACAACAAAAAAGCCTTTGTCCTAGTAAGTGGGGTCAGCTACATGAGTTTTTTTTTTTTCTCCATTTTGTCCTATTGAGTGTCATATTCTCATTTAATTTTCATAAATTAAGATCAATTTTTATACAAGATGCCCATGTCCTTTTTAGGTCTACTTCTACCTTTCTTAATATAAGTTGAATATAAAACATCAACTTTCTTAACCGGATCATCGGATGGTCGACATTTAGTTTGACCAAACTTTGAATACAAAACATCAACTTTCTTAACTGGATCATCGGATGGTCGACATTTAGTTTGACCAAACCATCTAAGATGACTCTCTCTACTCTTGTCTGCCATTGAAACCCTTTCACGGATACGTTTGTTTCGCCCTTTATCTCTAAGCATTAAGTCACTCATCCACTTAAGCATTCTCATTTCTGGAACACTTAACTTTGTTTTATGCTTCTCCTTTAAAAATGGCATTCTGCTCCATAAAGAATCACAATTCTCGCTACCATCTTAAAAATTTTCTTTTAAGTCTAGGCGGTATTTTTTCTATCACACAATAGGCCCGATGCAGTCCTCCACTTTAACCAACTTGAATTCTACTAATAACATCCCCATCTATATCACCATCTCTTTGAAAATTAGATCCGGGATATCTAAAACATTTACAACTTTTAATAATTTGGTCACCCATAGTCACAACTCCTTAACCGGATCTAATACTACTAAAATTACTTTCCATGTATTTAGTTTTAGAACTACTCAAATGAAGGCCTTTAGACTCTAATGTAGACTTTCATAATTCAAGTTCTTCCTGAACTCTTTCTCTAGCCTTATACACAAGAAGGATATCAATAGAGAAAAATACACCAAGGTACATCCTCCTGTAAATGCTCAGTAAGAGCATCCATAACTAAAGCGGAAAGATATGTTCTTAAAGCCGATTCGTGATGTGATCCAACTGAAATAGGAAAATACTTGGTCAATTCTTCTTCTGTTCGAACAAAAGTAACAACTCTAGTATAAAAGTAACAACTCTATAATATATATATCTTTATTGACTTGAATATAAGTCGTATCAACACTTTTCTTTTCAAGAACTCTCCAATGAACTTCTCTTAGAATCTTATCATCGTAAGCATTTTCTAATTCATTAAAAAACATATGTAGAGCTTTTTCTACTCTTTCTGTTCTTCTCCATCAAATCTCTCAATAAATATATTGCTTTCATTGTAGATTTGCCTATCATAAATCCAAATTGATTATGAGATATCTGTGTCACGTCTTAACCTATGTTCAATTATTCTCTCCCATATTTTTAATGTATGACACATTAACTTAATTCCTTTATAATTTGCACACTCTTATGCATCCCTTTATTCATAAAAATGGGGATCAAAACACTCTTCATTCACTTCTCAAGCATCTTTTTAATTTTTGAAGTAATTTTAAAGAGTGCAAGCCAGGAAACTCTCAAGTCTCCTAAATATTTTCACACTTTAATTGAGATATCATCAGGTCTTACTACTTTTCCACCATTGGTTTTCTTTAAAGCCTTCTCAACTTTTTTTTACTAATGCGATGGTGAAAGTAAAAAGTATTATTATTATTAATGATATTAATTGAAAAGTGTATCAAAATATCTCACCCACCTATATTGATTATCTTCCTCTAAAAAAGAATTTTTTGAATTTAATCTTTAATAAACTTTATTTGAATTAAAACTTTACTTGAATTAAAACTTTATTTTTCTTTTCTCTTTGCTTGACTTGTTTATACATATGTTTTTTACTCTCTTTAGTATCTAGTCTATTATATTACTGAAAGCTTAATTCTTAGTATCAGAAATTTTTCTTTTAGACTCCCTACGTGCCACCTTCTATTTTTCTCAGTTCTTTAAGTTTTTTCATTTAAATTAATTTTTATAATAAAACTTTATCTTTTTTTTGCACATTATTATTCCACCACAAACTATTTTTATTTATAAATTTTTTTCTTGATTCTCCAAGTACATCGTTTGCCACTTGTTTAATAGTGCTTATTATTTTATCCCACATAAAATTAGCTTATTCATGAACATCTCAAACCTTGAAATCTCAAAGTTTACTAGTAAAAATAATTTTATTTATCTTTTGAGTGCTCCCATCTAATTCTATTTGTATTTTTTATCTTTTAACTCCTCATCTTAAAATTCAGAACTAAGAATCGATGTTGAGTACTTAAATTTTCACTTGGAATGACCTCACAATCTTTACATTCTAGATGATATTTTTTTCTCCTTAGAAAATAATCAAAGAGTTTTTATTAGATCCATTCTTATAAGCAATAATATGCTCATCTCTTTTCTTAAATAATATTGGCAAAAACAAAATCATAAACTAAAACAAAGTATGATATGATTCTACCTTATTCACTAATCACTCCAAAACCGTAGCCACGCTGAATATTTTTAAAATTTTCTACCACTCTACCAATATTTTCATTTAAATCTCCTCCAATAAAATTTTTTTTTTCGAGAGATATCATTTGTATTAATTCTTCTAGGTTATTCCAAAAATTTTCTTTCTAAACTTTATCTAAACCTATTTGAGGAGCATAAACCCTTATAATATTAAAACTCTTAGTATCAACAATAATCTTTAGGGTTATAATTTTATCTTCAATTCTATTAATTTTTAAAACATTATCTTTCAAACTCTTATCTATAATTACTCCTACACCATTTCTAGTGCAACTCCTACCTGAATACTAAAGTTCAATATTTATGCTATCAATTTTTTTATTCTTTCTCCAACCCATTTAATTCTTGAATGCATAATATATTTTTCTTTCTATGAACCATAATATCTACTAATCTCATTAATTTGCCTGTTAGAGTACCGATATTCCAAGATCCTATTCTGATATTATTTTCATGAGCTAAATTCTTTGCCTGCATCCATTCATAATGGGAGAAACCTTATTTGACACTACACCCTGACAATGGTGTAGCGGTCCTTGCACACTTTTCACTTTACTTATGATATACAATGCTTAGCTTCTAGGTGAAGCCCCCTAGCATTGAACACAATAATTTAAATGATCAATGTCATGATTTTTCGACAAAAAAATGTATGCAGATTGTTGACTATCTAACACTACTCTCCACTTGTCGCATCTGGGGCTTGAGACCCGCCAATGATTGTTATTTTTATGGTGTTTCATATTGAAGCTAAATTTGGCCAATTAATAGTTATTGAACTCGCAATGTTTTTTCCTTGGTATGTACAATCATCAATGTTTATGGCTTGAATGCTTCGACTTGTTGATCAATAATCTGCTATTTAAAGGTCAAAAGCTTTTGAGCTGATTGTATTTTGCATGCATACTTCATTTTTTAATTACAAATGTACCTGTTCTCATATACACTGCATAAGAAAATTGAATTATGAGTAATACAATGACGATAGTGCTCTATAGTTACCGGTCTTAGTTTGTAAAATTGCTGTCATGATTTTACGAGTTATACTTTAGGTGCAGTACCATCTATTCCATTTCTCTGTGATTATTAAATTTTGCCTCTTGCATATTCACAGGAAAATATTTGGTTCTTTTTTCTTTTTCTCTTCATAAAATGTAGACAGCATAACGAAAGCATAGGCCATGACAAGTCAAGGAAAAAGCAGGATACGATTCATGTTGGTAGCATTATTATTTTAATAAATTATATAATCACTAAAGTAACAAAAAAATCATTAAAATAAATCTGAGCAGAGAAGTAGCGAAAATCTTTTTACCTATTCCTATAATCAAATAATATTTTAAATACTGTTGTGAGAGAAGGATAAATATAGAGTATATTCACTTGCAACAAAATATTGTTTCGGGATCGAATCGGGTATTAATTTGATGTGTACCATAAGGTTATTGCTAAAAGAAATAACGAATACATTCAAATATAGAGGCAGAATATAAAATTTGGCACCTTTCAAGTATAGTTCTCTATTATGTTGTAAATAAATTGATGTTAAGATAGACTAATAAATACAGAGATGAGTTTTTGAAGTAGGTTGGGCAGACCTGAGACTGATTCTTAAAAACTTTAGGAGGTTGTCCTTGATGGATTTGGCCTTAAATGGTTTAACCATAATGGGTTGATGGCTAGCCTAATAGGCCACTTATCATTGAAAAGCCTCCATGCAGGTCTATTGTTCAACTCAGCATTAAATTTAAGATAATATTTGATCTTTGGTCTGAACTCATTATCTTGTTAACGTTACAGAACTCTTTTTGATGAATCACCTAATCTTATATTATGTTACATGAATATAACTATATTTTATTCAACTTGAATCACATTTACTCTAAACTCGCGTAAACTAAGACAAAATAAATGATTTTTTCCTCAACATTTTCTCGACACTTGATTCAAATATATTGTTTATAATTCTGATTCAACTAAAAATATGAATGAGTCCTCCTGTTAATTTTTATTGGTGAATAACAGTATGTAAACATGCTTAAATTCATAGTTTCTAAAAGCCTATAATAAATTGGGCTAGGTTAAGTCAATGGCGGGCTTTGAAGGGCCTAAATCAATGGGCTTGGACAACCTTTTGGACACTCCTACATTGATAGCATTTGGGAATGAAAATAAGATTTTTGAGGATCTACCTGGGCCAAAGTTAACCTCACATTAAAAACCAGCTCAATTATATCTCAGCTTTGCAATTTTAACAATCACACGCCAGCTGGCTTTTGTGAAATGGTGTCTGGTTAAATTGGAATATGTTTTTTCTGACATACAAAATAGCCCTTTGAAAGTTTTGTGCACTGTCCTTTAGGTTAATTGTATTTGCATGCATGATATATTTCTTCAGCTTTGTCATGTTGATTATCATTAAGAACTTGAATAATTCATATTGCGCAGGAAATTGGAACACACTACAATTGACGTGGCAGCTTCTAGCAATTCTCTTGATAACATCTATATTGAAGATGATATGGACTTGGTTGAGGATGAATCTGAAAGCGAAGACATTCTTTCAGAGGTTTTTTCCCCTGCTATTTTATAATTTATATCATGTTCATAGATTAGTTTGCACATTTTTGTTGAATTGACTGCCCTTTCTAATATAATTATGCTACAACTAACTTGTTCTGCTCGTTGTGCCATTTTAGAATCTTTCCTTGCTATTTTTGAATAGTATCTTGCATAAGTGTTTATTTATTTATACTAACTAATACTTCAGATTCCTTCCATTTGTTTGCATCTCCTCTGGTGCTCAATAGCTATTTGTGAAAAGAATCATGCTTGGACCCTCTTTTGTTTTGACTCTTTTTATGGAGCAAGGATATGTTCATTTTGTTTCAGATGCAACAATGAATTTTTTCTAATAAGCTTGTTCAGCTACCATGACTACTTTTCAAACTTGCCTGCAACCGGTTTATTTATTTGTAGCAGTATCATTTTTTTTTTGAAAAAATTGTATCATTTGATAGAAAGTTTCATCTCATATTTAATTCATTATTTTCTCTCTATATGGCATAGAGATTTCAAAAATTTTTTTGAATTCACGCAATCTTCTTCTTTTCTTCCATTGGTCTTAAAATGACGTTGCTTACACTGGCTCCATAAATTCATTTTGTTTACTGATTTGTTTTTATTTTTCTAGTTGATGTCGCTTCTGTTTTGCTTTTTCTCCCTAAGATGTACCACAGAAATGGTGAAATTGTTTTTTTACTGCACAGAAACAGAATTTATGACATTTTGCATGCATGGTATTGCGCCTCACTGATGTCCTCTCTATGCGTATACAGTGGTCACTGGCATCTCATATGGCTTCTAGCACCGGTGCAAGCTGCCTATTGATTTTGTGGAATCCTCTAGGTTTGTGACTCGCTTTTCATCCTTCTTCAACCTCTGCTCTCCCCTCAAATTGGCAGATTTTTTCTGCTCATCTTCTCACCTGTTTTGGTTGCTCACCTTGGCCTTCCCTCTCTTCACACCCTACATTTTCTTGATTGTCTACCTCCTTTGTGGATTCTTAGGGTTTCGATGGTTTCTTCTAATCCAGCTTCATCACTTCGTGCTCCGGTCACTTCTATCATGTCTAGGGTTCTACTTTTTGTTCATACATCTCTCTCTTTTGCTAATATGGTTGGTGGCTTGTTGAGTTCCTGATATGATCCGATATTAAAAATAACAAACAAACAATGACGGAATTATAATAGATAGGTAGAAAGATTCAAACGAGGGCTGTTCTTACCAAAAAAAAAAAAAAAAAAAAAAAAAAAAAGGGCAATGATGATCTATTTTTTGAGTGGTAGATCGTCTCTCCATAAACCCTAAACTTTGCTAGGGATTACACAAGAAGAAAATGAAAATTGCAACCAAAACAATACATGAAGACGAACCCTAGCCCTTAGCTCTTCTAAATACTTCCCAAATTACCTTTCAAACTTTCCCCCCAAAATTCCCCATGATTCCCTTCCTCCTATACGTGATTAGTGGTTTAGTGGGCCCCACCCGGACGCTGGAATTGCCCTCAAAGTTTTCTGGAAAGCACACCCACCTAGGCTGGGCCGGCTGGCTTGGCTTGGCCGCCAGCGGGTCTAGCCTGGTTTGGCCGCCAGCGGGTCTAGCATGGTTTGGCCGGTCCAAGACTGGTTCTCCCAGGACTGGTTCTTCTGCATCGATGGGAGTCGCGACTGATCCTTCTTGAGAGGGAGGCGCAAGAGGCGCTAGCGTAGCAACACTCCCCTCCCAAAGAAACACCTTGCCCTCAAGGTTGAAGTATGGGTACTACTTTCAGATACCCTCACAAGGCTTCCATGCTGCATCATAACCCGACAGATTCTTCTACTTAATAAGTGCAGTCATTTTTCCTGCCAATCCCTTCCCACCCCTTCAACCGCCAACGGTTTTAGAATCATCTCCATGTCCTTTGTCAACATAGGAGGTAGCGAAGGCGATGTTGAATGATCCCCGATAGCCCACCTCAACTGTAAAACATAAAAGACTGGATGTAGTGCTGATGATGGTGGTCACTTCAGACGGTAGGCCACTGCCCAAATATGCGTGTCGTGATCTCAAAGGGTCTAAATTATCATTGAGGAAGTATAGTGTTGACGATAGTGGTCTCTCTTTTATGGCAGAAAACCATGAGGGATATGACGTGTGGATCTCAAAATAAAATTAAAACTGAGATAGTGCAGAAAATGAAACGACAACCCAAACATAGAAATTGAAGTAGCCCAGGAGGATGCAATGAATTTTTAATAAATCCAGATAAGAGGGTTACGAATTAAAAAGTCAATATAACCCTTAAAGACCATAATTCCACACATGCTCTAGGCTAATAAGTCCGACATTAAGAAGGCGACAAAGAACAATTCTACCACCGATCAAGAGATTATCCGCACTCCCATGCTCTACGCACCATTGAAAGGGAGCCACCTCGACCTTCAAGCATTCTATTTTTTCATACTGGCCATAGGGGCTAGATCCCAATTCCAGCAAGTGGCGCACGTCACCCATCTTCTTTTCAAAAGCGGCCCACTGCTGTTGACTATTTTGGGCACTCCCTATTAAAATCTGCCCTTTGATCTTGTGGTTGCAGGGTGAAAAACAACTCCCTGCTACTTATCTTAGTGTTCTTGGCCTCTAATTCAGAAATATACATTTGAACTTCAATAGGCAAAGCCTCTATAGGCGATACATGAAGTTTCGAATTCCCTTGATCCATGGGTAACATAACATGATCGATCATTTGAAAGGGGTCAGCTAAATCTCCTTTGGGAGGAGCCAACGCCTCCCTTAAGGCGCAGCTGGGTTCACAATCGTCATCCACAACTCGCTTTCCCCCCTTTAAGGGGTCATCAATGCACGTTCCATTCAAGTCTAATCCCTCCATTCCTTGTCCCTTTAAATTTCTGGAAGCCATCAAATTATAAGTCGAGCAAGGAAATTAAAGTTAAAAAACTGCGCAAGATTACCTGTTTCGGAGGAACCCTCCATAGCCCTATGCATAGGAAGCATCTCCTGCACGAAGATTTCAAGTTCTTCATCCTCAACGAGACTTCGTCCCCCAGATCCCTGAACAAGATCGACACCTAACTTGGCAACAAACAAAATAGCGTCGAGACAAGGAAAACTGTAACAAATCAAGAAAAAAACCATTCACCTCTTACAATTACACCACCGGTAGGCAGAGGAAGCCCTATGGGCGGGAAAACGTCTACTAGATTGTCTAAATTTAGCAAAAACTTTTGCAAGGGCGAATCCTCTTTGAAAACCTTCATCCTTTTTCGAGATTCCTCTTCTTGCGAATGTCGCCCTTCCTTTTTTTCCACCAGCCGTTCCTGTTCCCAACGACCAATACTAGTCGTAGTAACGTCCATCGAGTACCTGTTCTTCATCTCGTAACGAGAGATAACAAACTGCCTTCATTTCTACAAATGAAAGGTTTTTTAAATAGATACACGGGATCAATTTCTACTTCTCCTTGTCCTTATATAAATGCGAGGATTGTGCAATCGTCACAAACTTTTTGAGTAAATACCATAATAAATGTCTTTTGAAATCCTTACATTAACTTTGTATTTGACACTGGGCAAAAACAAAACATAGGCGAAAAAAATTAATGGCCCTATCGTGGAATGCATCAAAAGGCTATCCTATTAAGTCAAATGAAGATCGTGTTCAAAGTAAGAAAGCACGAAAATAGAACCCTCAACAGACCTCAACCGACAATATAAGTTGGTGATGCTGAACTCTCTTCATGCACCCAAGCTAGGGCATCCGAGGAAATGACAGATTTCTAGACCACTGAACGAACACTCTAGGATTACTATCTATAGAAACCACATAAAATTGCTCCTAGAAGATGGTCAGTCCCCTAAATGTTGCTGGTGTAGTTAAAATGGACAATAACCAAATTCCTCACAGGACAAGCCTAAGGATTGACAATGAGCATCAAGAAAGGTTCATTCCTGGAACCCATTCCTTCTTTGACTTGAAGGTCTCAAAGGTTCATCAAACAAGGTGTATCTCATTTCCTCATTCTTCACGTGGAAGCCACAGACACCCGATGAAAGAGATAAGTGAATCAGTACTTGAAGGTCTCAAAGGTTCATCAAACAAGAAGGTGTATCTCATTTCCTCATTCTTCTCGTGGAAACCACAGACACCCGATGAAAGAGATAAGTGAATCAGTGAACTAAGTGTATACAAACATATCCGATAGCTGTGAACTAAGTGTATACAAAAATATCCGATAGCGAAATAGGGACCCCTAGATGAAGAGGTCAAGCCGAGCCGATCACCCGAATAGGTTGAACTGGGTCTGCTCTCCGAAGTGTTGACTGGGCCCACCTACCGAAGTGGTCGGTCGGATTGCCCCGATCAGTCGAACAGGTCGCATCAAAGTGTTGACTAGGCCCACCTACCGAAGTGGTCGGATTGCCCCGATCAGTCGAACAGGTCGCATCCATCTGAAAGTACCATCCCATCAACAATAAATGCATTTGTTAATTTTCAAGGCCTAACCAATTGCCCGAGACAAAGGAAAACCATCACATTGCTGATATCGGGTTTTGCATCTGGTTAAGAACTTGCACTCATTAAATCTTCCCCATAAAAAATGCTAGGAGAGGCTTTCGAGTGAAGGAAATAACACTGTATTCAATATTTTATAATTAATGGTCTCTCATCTATAAAGGGGATGAGGCTTAGAAAATGGTGGGAACTTTTTTCGGCGACTCCCTATTCTCTTCCTTTCCCTCATCCCCTAGGAACTTGAGACATTTTTCAAGACCTTCATCAAGGATTACGATCCATCTCTTCTTCTCACTTTCTCTTATTTTCTCTACTGATACTCTAACCGCGTGGTATCTTATACCGGATTGTGTGTGGTATCATGAACTAGATGGGATGTTACATCCCAAAATAGGATTCAACACACACACACACACACACACACACACACACACACACACACACACACACACACACACATGCATGTATGTATATATACATGCATGCATACATGTATCTTGCATGTATCTATGTAGATACATGCCCTATATGGATACATGCATGTATCTATATAGATAATTGCATGCATGTATGTATACACACATTATGGAAACCCGTTGGTAATTTTATTGCTCCAAAATAAAGTTACATGTTTTTAGGGGATTGGATCCCACTACTAGGGCTATCACAAAAGCTCGTTTTTCACGAACAGTTTGTGTTCGACTCGTTAGGGAGATCATGTTTGATTCATTCGATAAACAAACGAGACGAACATGAACACTTTCTTTTCGTTCGATTTTTAAACGAACTAAACACAGACAATCATTTGTTCGATCGTGTTCGAAATATAAATAATTTAAAATAATTATATATAAAAATTTTATCATATTTTAAAAATAATTATATACTAAAAAAATTTATCATATTTTAAAAAAATTAAATCCTATAAATTATAATATGATCTTCAAGTTCGCCTTTTAGCTTATATTAAATCCTATAATTTCATATTTATTTTAAGTTTTGCCTCTTAGCTTAAATTTTTTTATATTTCTTTTAGATTTATTTAGTTACTTTGAGTAAAACCTAGTTTTTGAAGTTTTTGAGAGTGAAATCTTGCATATTGTCTTTTGATCTGAATTTTTTATGGATGAGACCCGATATTATAGTTTTATTGTGAGTTATGCTTCGGCTATTGTGCATTTGTGTTGTGATTCATACAGATTTAAGGATTAATTTCATATAGGTTCAAGCTTTTGAATGATTTCAAACATATCAAACAATTCGAACAATACAAACAAATATGTATGCTTTCGAACAATTCACACAATTTGAACAATTTGAGCATTTCAAACATTTCAAAGATTTCAAACATATTTCAAACAAATCGAACCGAACATGAACAATAACTTCATGAACAATTTCAAACACGAGCTTATTTCAAACACACTTAATTTCAAACGAACCGAACACGAACACGATCTATGTTCGTTCGTGTTTGGTTCGTTTACACCCTTACCCACTACAAATCAAAAAATACAATACTCACTCCTAGGGTTTCAAACTCCAGGCGTACAAAGGCACCCAAAAAAGTCTCCAGAATAGATAAAGTATACAAAAAAAAAAAACTCTAAAACAAAAGAAATAGATAAATCCTAGCAAAGAAAAGGCATATATATATGTGTGTGTGTGTGTGTGTGTGCTTACCCTAGCAAAGAAAAGGCATATATATATATGTGTGTGTGTGTGTGTGTGTGTACGCATGCATGCGCGCCGCGCGCCGCTTCGCGCCGCGTACTCAGATCATTTGGTCGGGCATCTACTTGTCAGTTGTCCTCTATGGTCTGGGGTTTGATTCCCCCCGAGTGTAGAGTGTAGTATTCGAATTCTTAGGTGCACGATGGATGACCGGGCTCGTAAAATAGCCTCCGGTCATTCCTTTATATATATATAGCTTGTATTCTTGAATTCTTGAAGAAGTAAATCTATAAAGCTTTAACAAATATTTATAAAAGTATAACATTTTGAATTGGATCATTTGACTTCTCTCTCTCTCGTTTCTTATCCTCTTTTCTTCTCTCTTAAAATTTGGCCAAAATCCCTCACTTGATGGATTTACCAATTCCCCTTCAAATCAAGCCTCCAAAGACTTTGGCATAAATTTCAAAGCCCCCTTAAAATGAATTTGAAGGTAAGGGCTCAATTTCCATGGCAAATTCTTACTTTGGATCTGTCTTGGTTTATTGAAGCTTTTGAGCATCACATGCCCAAGATTTCAACTTGCGGAAATGGAGGATGAAGGATCACATGGAAACCTTAAATGGGGGTAGGAATCATCATCTAAAGTGTTAATTGAGCCTTAATCTCATTTGCATGGTATTATTCATGGTTCGGGTTTGAATCGTATAAGAAATCCTAGATCTTGAAGTTTCTCAAGGACCCTTAATGTCATGCATGTATAAAATCTAAATGTAAGTTAAACCCTAGAAACCCTAATTTCATGAAATTCTAGTTTTGGCCCTTCCTAATTTCTACCATAGAAACTTAAAATTGCATGCAAATCCTACTGGTTCCATTTTCTTCTACGTTATGATTTTCGAATCAATTGGACATCATAATAGAACTGTATTGTAGTATTAGATCACTTCTATATCACATAAGTCTTGTGCGCATAGTGGTCGCGCAAGTCATGGCACTCTAAGTTTCTTCTCAAGGCTGAATACTGTTCTCTATTGTCCAGTTTTCCCAAAAATTATTCATCTGCTCTCTACACCATGGGCTTTCCAATAGCAGTTATGCATATCTTCTTCAAAATAGATTGGCATTACATTAAGCAATAAGTGATTACATTGAGCAGGTAAAAATAAACTCTTGAATGTACTGTGATTAAAATTTTGGAAGTAATTCTAAAGTGTTCTGCCATTCATTTATTTAGTAGATGCTGCAATCTACGATAATAGGGAATAATTTGTACTTTACTTTTAACATTTATGCCACTTTGTGATGTCGGTCATTTTTTATAGTTTGGATTGCTTTATATTATACTGTAGATCATGCATACTCTGTATTGTCAGTTTTTAATAGTTCTGACAGCTGCATCTATACTTTGGATGCCTATGCATCTTCTCCGTTATTAATGTAACTCATTTATTTCTGTTGCGTTATTTTGTTAAGATGACATTTCATCTTCATATATGCATTTTAACTCTCATGAAGTGGATTCTAATTACTGTTTCTCAAATGGGTTCTGATTTGTATTTTTTAATGTTTTTCTAGTTTGGTGTATAATCATCAGATATTTATAGCTCTGTAGACATTTTAAAGTCCTGTCCTTGACAGACAATGAAACAAATCCATTTGTACTGTTAGCTTGTACTTGCTGTAAACCTCAATGTCTTGTCACAAAATGGATTTGCTTTAGTGGTGTTCCAGTTCTCTTCACTCCCTAACAGTTTACCTGAAATTGCTATACGCAGGATCCCGAATGCCCATATGTTTCTGATATTGAACTTGACAGTAATGACAAAGGTCATCATATCTTCTGTTTACAATTTTTAAAATCAAATAAATATCAATCCACAATATTAATTTAATATTTGCAGACAATAGTGAGTGTGCTGCTTTATCCGAAAGCAACAAAAATATTCACATGGAGATTGTAAAGCAGAAGAGAAAGCTCGACAGGCTGCTGGAGAAGGTGATGACTTTCTAAGCCTTCTGCAAAATGTATGCTATCATTTTTCAGACATACTTCTTGCCTAATGAATTTAGTTGTTTTTTTCATCAAGATCAAACTCTGGTGTTTGATGCTTCTGCTTTTGGATGCTTTATAGTAATCATTGAACATTATGGTGAATCAAGGAAAATAGTAAAAATTAAAGTTTGGCCTGTTATGAATCATAGGTTTACCATGGTTTGCATTTTTGTTTAACAAACTGCTTTTCAAACTTCTCTGATCTTTTAATTAAACTAATCAGAAGTCGGTAAATATTAATTTGTACGCCAACATTTTAAATCCATTGATTCTCTAAAAGGACTGAAAATGCGGACTAAGGTGTAATAAAGAGGGAGGGGATTTGGACATTCAGACTGTCATGTTGGCCATAGAATGGTCTAAGAAATAAGTGACTGAAATAGATAGAATGCTGCCAAAGTTTTTAGAGTTTTGTTTGTGTTTTTCCTGATTGAGAGTGTACTGAGAGTATGCACGAGCAAAATGAACCTTTGTTTTATGGCTGTCTCTGCAGGCTCTGACTTTCTGTAAATTCAGTTTCTTCTACTCTAGCGTGATCCATGTACTGTTCTGAGACGTCCTATCTGTTTGAATTAAAGGATTGAAAATAATATTGAAAATGGGGTTTGTCTAGGGTCTGCATTTGTAGTCTTTCTTCGTTCAAGTGTATTAGGAAGAAGAAACGCATATTTTGATGTTCCAGATATGTGGCAAGGAATTTTACTTAGGCAATTTCTTTGTCAAGTGAACAGAAGTAAAATAAGTGCGATTGTGATTTATGATATAAGAATTATGCGTGGATCATGTTTTCTTAATTTTCATGTGGATTTAATTATTTATCTTACATAGGAAAAATACATTATAATTAAACACAGTTGCCCTATTAAATTTTAGGTTTATTTCTATATTTCTGCAATCAAAACCATTAAATACATGCTAGAGATCAAGACGTCATGTATTTGATTTCTAGCATTTTGCAAGTCTTTAAATTTTCAAATTGAAATTATCTTACCATACTATTAGATCATATATTGTGAAAATCTTGATGCATCCGATTGAGATGGTTACATGATTTTTAAAAACTTTCATGACATTAATTTTAATGAATTTAAATAGAATGGGTGGTTTTGATCTTTTGCTCTTGAAGACCATAATATCAAAATATAATTGGATGGAGAAAGTTGATTCTCCTCTTAAGAGGAGAGAATTTCATCCTTGGAGAAAGACAACATGTGTACTTAAAACTTTATTTTAGGGTTTGTAAAGATTCATGGAAAATTTCTTATTTGAATTTTCACTCTTTATGTTATAGGTTCCTTAATGTGCAACACTGGCAACATTCATGCTTTTCAGAAATGTTTCCTTATTAAGATGTTTTTCATTTTTTCTTTTTTGCAATTTTAAAAATCTCTTTTAAGGTTTTTCTTTACTGATAATATTAAACTTTGATGACAACATTTCAGGTTCCAAAATTTTCTAAATTTTTGGAAAGTCGAAGAGCTGCACTTCAGAAATCAAAGAACGTTGAAACTGTAATACTTTACATTTCATCCAGTTTTAGAAATTATTATACCATTGGATCTTATGGCATGATTATTTAAGAATGACATTTTTCTTATTTTGATTTGTCAGATTAAGCAAAATTGTGTGTGGAACCAATTTCATTTTTTCACATACAAAGTGAAAAAGATTATAAGTCATATATTGTTTTTTGTTATATTTTCCGTAGCAAGTTATGGGGACTCTTGAGATACAAAATTGCGTTTAATCTGTTACATATGTGACTTACTAGACATATAGATTAGGATTGACTTTAAATTGCTTGTTATGAAGGTGGGAAGACTAGCCGTTATCTTACTTTTTATTATTAAAAAAATGTTTAAGGACTTGAGTTTCATGTTTATGTTTAGTATTTGTAGAAAATAGTTATTGGGAGGAAAATTTCTTCACTTCGCTATTCATATGTAAGGTACTTATATATGTAAACCAATCCCTTATAATTTACAAACATACCAAATATGTCTAGTCTAAATTTGGAAATAAAATAATTTTGAAATAAAATAAACGAAAACATAAATAAAAGGAGAATAAAACTAATTAAAAACTTTCAAAGTTATTTCCCGATTTAATCTTCCATGATAGACAGGTGGCTGGCCGGCCCTCCCAAGGAAGCAGTTGGTTACTTCCTGGTATTTCACACTTCCCTCAAGCTGGGTCGTTAATGTTGTGGAGGCCAAGCTTGATATTGAACTCTGAGAAGGAACTTAAATGAAGAGCTTTGGTGAAGACATCAATAATTTGTTGGCGTGTGGGATGTAACTTAGCTGTATAATTCCACCATTAAATTTTTCAGAATTGAGGTGCCAATCAACTTCAATATGCTCAATCATGTCATGATGCACATGGATTATTGGCCTATTGGAGGTACAATCTAATTTTCTTAATAATTTTTGAATTCATAATCCTTCACAGATTCTCAAGACAAGTGCCTTGTACTTTGATTCTGCATCTTCTAGAAACAACAATTTGCTACTTCTCAATATAACCAAATTTTCTCATGGATAAGAGCAGTGGTCTGTGGTGCACCTTCTATTAGTAAGCTCCCCAACCCAACTTGCATTAGTGTAGACTTCTACAACTCTGTTTCTGGTTTTCTCAAAAATTAATCAATAACCAACTGTCATCTTGAGAAATCTCAAAAATCCTGTGCACCATCTCCAATTGTTCTTCATTTGAGCTGTTCATATGTTGGCTCACAATACTGATAGGGTATCTAATATTCGGCCTAGTATGTGATAGACGAGTTTTTCTACCAATCTTTGATATCTTCCTTTATCCACATATATACTTTCTTCTCCCTCGTTAGACTTCTTGCTAGGTTCCATTGGAGTGTGAGTAGGTTTGCATTCTATCATCCCTGTTTTCTTTAGTAGATGTAGGATGCACTTTTTCTATTATATAATAATGCATTTTTTGGAACTTGCTATCTCCATAGCTATAAAATATTTCATGTTTCCTTGGTCATTGATTTTGAACTTGTGATAAACACTTCTTAGATTTTAAAAATTTCTCTTTTATCATCACCAGTAAGAATCATAGCATCCACATATACATTCAGTGCAATAATCTTACATCCCTGAGTGTGTTTTAGAAATATTGCGTGGTCAACTTGATTTTGAGAGTATCAATTAGGTTTCAAAGTTTTAACAAACCTTTCAAAACACGTACTTGGTGATTGCTTAAGCCCCTAGAGAAACTTCCTGGTGGTATCTCTATGTACACTTTTTCTAGATCCACTTTTAGAAAAATATTTTTTATGTTAAGTTGATGCAGTCCTTATATCCTCATTCCCTGTTAATTGCTACTGAAAGGAGAACTCTAATAGTGTTTAGCTTAACAGCTGGTGTGAAGCTCTCTAATAGTGTTCAGTTTAACAGCTGGTGCAAAGCTCTCTTGATAGTCTATCCTATAGGCTTGTATGAAACATTTTGCAACAAGTCCGACTTTAAATTCCTTAATACCTTCATCAACTTTATATTTGTTGTTGAACATCTATTTGCATCCAGAGTTTAGTAAAAATCCATGTGCCATTATGCTTTAGTGCTCGAATCTTCTCTCCAATTGCTTTCTTCTATTCCAGATTTTCAAGAGCTTCTTGAATAAATTTAGGAATCTGTATACCATCAAGGCTAGATACAAACTATATATAGATTGAGAATAGCTTTTCATATACTACATACTCCTGAATTGGATATCTAATACAACTTTCCTTGTCAATAATATTAGAAGAAAAGGGTGATAACTCATGAGTACTAGACTCATCCTGACCCGAAAGCTTAGGTAAATGTGGACTCAGGTTTTGGTTGGAGTAGTTCTGTTTTTGCAAGTTATCTTTCCACCTGTTCAAGATTTTTCTTCGTCCTTGTGCACACACAAAGTTTATTGTTATGGGCTTCAGGTTAGATTGGTTGGATATCCTCAACAATGGTAGGAGGGTTTGATGAAAGTGGAGTTGGTTGGGTTGTCGTGTATGTGTCATCAAGTGCATCCCAAAATTAATATTTATTTGCACTTTCCTCTTGAACATCAAATTTAGGGTAGTAGGGTGATTTTTAAAAAAAACATGACATCCATGGAGTTGTAGTATCTTCTAGTAATAAGAGAGTAATGCTTATACCTTTTTTTGTTGGAGGCATGTCCAAGGAAAATACAATTGATAGATTTATGATCAAATTTGGTAACAGTAGGAGATCGAATGTGAACAAATGATACGCAGTCATAGATTTTAGGTGGTATAGTAGAAGAGAAATCTTTGGTATGAGGTTATGTAACCATCAAAACATGAAGTGTTTTGAAGTTAACTATCCGTCTAGGCATTCGATTGATAAGATATATTGCAATAAGAATTGCTTCACCCTAAAAATATTTTGGAACTTGATGAGAATTTATAATTAAGCGGGATACCCCAAGGAGATGCTTGTTCTTTCTCTCATCTATCTTATTTTGTTGTGGGGTATCAATACATGAACTTAGATGGATGTTCTCATTTTGAATGATATGACTCAAGGATAAAGTAAATATTCCTTTGCATTATCAGTTTTGAGGATCTAAATTTTGCATTGAAATTGAGTTTGAATTATGTCATGTAAGGTTTGGAAGATTTGAGCTTTTTCAATTTTCTCCTTCATTAGAAATACCTAAGTACTAGTGCATTCATCAATAAATGAGAGGAACCATCTAGCATCACTTAGGGTTTTCACTTTTGAAGGTTTTCAAATATCACTGTGGATAATGAAAAAAAAGATATGAGGTTTTGTACTCGGTCATGAGATAATTATTTCTAGCATGTTTGGCAAGTTAACAAATCTCTCATTAATAAAAATTAGGTTTTTTATTCATAATTAAATGATGATACAATTTTGTAGCATAATTGAAATTAGGATGATCCAAACAACAATGCCATAACATGACCTAATTTTTAACAGACTAGACTTAATAGACTTAGAAACTTGATGTAAAAGTGGGAGTGAAAGCACTTGTTTATTTAGAGAAAATTTTTCTTTGATTAGGTTTAAATCTTGATGCATTTAAGCACTGCCAACCACCTTTCCTGATTCCACGGCCAGAAATTCACATGAGTTTGCAAGGAATTTAGTTATACATTTCATATCTTGAGAAAGCTTGGTGATAGAAATCAAATTGTCGTCCAATTGTGAAACATATAAAATAGAAGAAAGAGTGTATCTCATTTTCTAGCAATTTTTTGAGTGTGATCCATCTACAAGTTTGACCAATCTAGATAGGTTCTAAGGATGGGATTAATATATTCATTTGCATTATCAGTTTTGAGGATCTTAATTTCGTATTAGAATTGAGTTTGAATAATGCCATGAAAGGTTTGGAGGATTTGGTCTATTTCAGATTTCTTTTTTATTAGGAATACCCAAGTAGTTTTAGTGTGATCGACAATGAATGAGTTAAACCATCTAGCCCCATTTAAGGTTTTCACTTTTGAAGGTCTCAAAATATCATCGTGGACAATGTAAACAAGGATGTGAGTGTTTTAGTCGGTCATTAGATGACTATTTCTAGTGTTTTTGACAAGTTAACAAATCTCACATTGATAGCAAATATATTTTTTATTAATAAAATAATGAGGATATAACTTTGTGACATAATTGAAATTAGGATGATCCAAGCAACATTACCATAACATGATCTGATTTTCAACAGAAATAAACTCAATGAATCATAAATTTTAGGTGAAGAGAAAGACCTTTCTTGAGCGAGCATAAGCCTTGATGCATTTCAACGCTGCCAATCACCTTTCCTGATTCCACCACCTGAAATTCACAAGAGTTTGCAAGGAATTTAGTTATACATTTCATAACATGATTAAGCTTACTGATCAAAATCAAATTGTATTCGAACTGTGAAACAGAAAAAAAAAAGTGATGTCTTGAGAGATCCACAGCTTTTTTTGAGTAATTTTTGAGTGTGATTCATCTACAAGTTTGATCGATCAAAATGTTGAAACCATTTGATTGTTGACTAAAGCGCTATTGTCTTCGGTCATATGTTCCGAGGCTTCTGAATCTATGATATAACTTCAAAATTTCCCTTATTGACACAATGAGAGAAAAATATATTACCTTGGTGTGTCACGAGGTAGGTGTGCTGTTTTGAATTACATTCCAAGAGTCTTTCCAATATTTCAAGCAGTTCCTTGGTGAATGGTTCAAAATTAACCTCTGAAGTTGAGGTCAATGTCTTCATCTCATACTTGATCATTAATCCTATGTGTAGTTAGGGCTGTTGCTGGTACTATAGATTTGACTGTGGGTTGCAAAGAAGTGCAAGAGGGTTCTGGCAGAGGATGGTCTACAACAATGCAATTCTGGTTGCAGGGAGGAGTTCCGACGTCAGAGGAAGGCCTATAGTAAGAACTCTAACTGCAGGGAAGATCCAACGAGGTCCAACAAGCCGACTGAGAAGATTTCATGCGACTATTAGAGGAATTACTAAATCAATAGGAAGCATGTAGATGATAATGAAAGCCTGTAGGAAGAGATCCAGCAGAGACTCCTGCAAGGAAAGTTATCCTTATGCTTCACAGTCATATTTTTTCATAGATTTCATAGCTTCCGACAGGGAGAAATTCAGAAGGGCCTACATAAAAAAAATCCAAGTTCTGGTTGAGCAGAATCCGGTGAAGGCGGCATAAATTGAACACAAAAGACCTTTGACTGAAACACTAGAGAGAGGATATCAATTCCCCAAGAGGAAGGCCTTTAGTAAGAACTCCAACTATAGGGAAGATCCAACGAGCTCCAGCAATCCTACTTAAAAGATTTCATGCGGCTATTGGAGGAATTCCTGCTTCAAGAGGTAGCATGTAGATGATAACAAAAATTTGTAGGAAGAGATCCGGTAGGGACGTCTGTAGGGAGAGCTGAAGGGAAGAGCTTAGCTTCCGACAAAATGAAATTCGGAAGGGCCTGTATGGAAAAATTCAAGTTCTGGGTGAGCAGAATCCGATGGAGGCAGCATAAATTGAACACAAAATACCTTCGACTGAACAACCAGAGAGAGAATATCAATTCCATCAGAGGGAGGGAGTGATTTCAACTAGAGAGAGAAAGCCCTGGGCGACATGAAACTTCTTGTTGCCTGCATATGGAAGCCTAAATCCATTGGAAGAAAGCAGCACGAGCATTGAAAGAGTGACACATGGCTACACGGAAAGGATTCGGACTAACGTGTTGTCGAATTGGTCCACACGTGAGAGCGGAGGCGACCAAGACAATAAGAAGGATCGGTACGACTGTGTTTTTGAATTAATTCACACGCAAGAACGAAAATCTGTTGCAGTAGGATTTCGTAGAGAGACCTGCAAGGGACCGAAATCTTTCAAGGAGAATTCCAGAGGAACAGGGAGCAGGAGTCAAGGACGTGAAGGGTCTGCAAGCTAGATATATAGGAATTCCTAAGCTATGAAAAAATATGGAGTCAAGGATTTCATAGATTTCATAAGCTATGAAAAAATATGACTGTGAAGCATGAAATCTATAGGAATTCCTAAACCAATCCTTCTTAATTTAGAAATATTCCAAATATATGTAATCTAAATTTGGAAAGGAAATAATTCTGAAAAAAAAAAACATGAATAGGAAGAAAATAAAACTAAATTAAGGAGTTTCCAAAGTTATATCCCAATTCAATCTTCCATGATAGGTAGGTGGCCGATTGGCCCACCGAAGGAAGCAGTTGGTTACTTCCTGATTTTCACAGTATGCTTTAGCCCAAAGCTTATTGTCTTGGTTCGCTTTTATATATAGTTTTAAACAATTTAACTTACCAGCTATTCTACTTATTTGGAGATTTTTTATTGATAGAATACTGATATAAAACCAACATTTAGTATGCTGTGACTCATTGGGTAATATTTTCTGCTCAAAAGGACTGTATTTCATCTAGAAATTATTATCAATTGGAAATGGTAATTTGAAGCCTACTCCATATTCAATTAGTTCTACATAATGGTTCATCATTATGAGCCTTATTGAGAGTGTTTGAAGCTTCAAGGTATCCATGTCTTATCAATTCATAATCATTTCTCTTAGTTAGGCATTGAGTATAAATTTTTTATTTGCTTGTTATGTCATGTTGAAACGGGTTTATTTCTATTTGAAGGCACTATTTCCTGGATACTTATTAAATATTATTTTTATCATTGAATATGAAGGTCTTTTACCAAAAGCCTGTAGTATGATGTTTTTCCTTGGATGATTCCTAGAGCCCTGCTTATGTTTCAAGGAAACTGTAGCTATATGAATTCAAAGAATTTTTATCCATTCCAGCAATAAATCCTGTTCTTCTTTCTATTCTACATTCCTTAATCCAATTATTAGTGGCCAATTTGGGAACCTCTTGAATGTCAAATTTGGTCTTTTTTAATTGCGCTTCTTTAAATATAGACTGGGCTATTGGTATGTGATTATTAACTAGCACCTTTGTACTTTTGACGCTACTAAAATAACAAAACATGCATAAATGATGTTCACCCTCCAAGGAAAATGGCCTTATGAGACCATTTTTTTTTACTAAAGTTTATGATGCTTCTGGAAAATAGAAACTTAACTAAGTAAACCTGAACTCGAGCAAGTCTTTTCGGATATTTGCATCTTGCGAATCCTAAATTATTTACATTTTCTATCTGTAGGAAAATAAAGAGCATACATTTTGAATTGACAAAAAGTTTGAAGAGAAAAAACCTTTAAGCTTGTGTCCAAAATTTTCTAACATATGCTTGACATACAAACCCATTTGGCCTTGCAAGTTTGAATTAAACATAATGAATTGTGTTGGAGCAATTAGAAGATACCTTTTTTATATGATGGAAAATGATTAAAGAAACCAGGAGTTGGAAATTTTTCTTGTAGCATATTAAACATTCATAATCAACCAATCTAAAAAGGTTAAGATGATAATCTATCTTCCTTGATAAATTGTATATGCACACTGCATATGATGCGGATCATCCAAAATTTGGATGGAGTGTTATCTTTACAAATGATGCAGACGGGCTGATTAGTACATAATTTCCTTATATTAGTTTCTTGTTTATGATTTATATGTGGTATTATCAGTTCGTTGTCTAAGCTAGTAGAACCAGCCAAGGCTTTAGCAAAGAATACTATGAAATTACTTGCTGAGAACTGTTGATTTCTGGCACCTATCAGCCTTGTTTATTTTGTTTACGCTCTGATTGAACTGTGAGGTGCATGTATTTTTTTTTTATCAAGTATTGTTATAATTTTCTGAAAAGTTATGCCTGTTTTCACAATGCTAAATCGTTTCAACATGTTAGGATTCTGATGAGGAACCCGATGCAAATTACTCTAGTGGTGTTTCAGTAAATGAGGATATGCATTTACAAGATAGGAGATCCACCAACAGCTATACTGTAGATGTCTGGTGTTGGCTAGTAGTACAGCAGCCTGAAGGACCTGCACTACCTAATCTTCTTAATACATTTCAAGCTGCTTGCCATTATGGTTTTGATTCAGATGAAAGCCATTTGCATGAAATTTCAGATAAAAAAGTGTTCTCTAGGGTGCTAATGTTTATCTTGTGTGAAGCTGATGGTATTTTTCGGAAATGGTTGGGAATTTCAGATTCATGCAACAAAGATAGTTTTTTGAAATTGATGAACAAATCAGAATGGAAATTAGCGATGCCATTAATTAAATCCTATTTGAGAAGTTGCTTGCTTCTTCTAAATCAAGTAACTGAAGGCCAAATTCTTGTCTTCATTTTATGCCGGCTTAGATCTTCAATAGTTTTTTTTGCTGCCTTCCCATCGCTTACTCAGTTGCTTATCAAGGTATTATGCATTACATTATTTTCCTACTGCTTTTCTATGATTTGGTCTTTTAATGTGCTGCCTAAAGCTGAAAGTTGTCCGAAGGATTAAAAATTTCTATGCCTCAAAAACTGTAAAGCAAAAGCTTTAATTCTTGGTGTGTTTAATGTTATTCAGAAACCTCAAGTTAATCATTTGCTTGAGAAGCTTGGTTTTTATATTTTATTAATTGTTTTATGTAGGCAGTCTCATTAGATCTTGTGGACATCATTTGATGCTATAAAAGATACTAAAGATTTTGGACAAGCTATCTTGAGCTTATGTAAAATTCTCCATGGTGTTTTAAATGCAACCTTTGGTCTTCTATTGAAAGACACATTATGCAAATATAATGGGAAAACTAATCGCTAAGAGCATTATTCAATCCTGCCCTGAGCATAGCTAGAATTTAGGGAGTTTGTGGAGAATAGCATCCATTATACTACCTTTTTTTATGGTCGAGTTCTGCACACGGGCCTCTTTTATCATCAAAATCAATAAATTATCCCTTATAAATATGATTAATGGTTGTTCTCCCTATGTAAACATTTATGTATTGGGCTAGTTGCTATTACAAGCATTATTTCATTATGTCTTGGAAATGTCTTGGATTTGCTCATGATATACTTTATCATTCTCTGTCTTTAGTTGTAATAATGCTTGATACTCTTGTCCAGGTTTGTTGGAGTATTTAATTTTATTCTTTTTAGCTCATTATAGTTTTCATTTTGATGCAGATCTCAGTTCATTTATGGGTGACTGGGGAGGAAAGCCTGTCTCTTTCTTCTTTTCTTGTTGTCCGAGAGATTGCATCTAAGTTGCCTTCTGATTGGTATGATACTTGCTTGATGAAGACATATAAAGCTTTTATTGGACATTCAAGGTTTTTTGAACCTGGAAATCCGAAGCAAGTTGAATTTCTTAAGAAATCAATTGTGGAATTGTACTCTTTGGATCTGCCAAGATCCTACCAGCAAGTACTTGCATCCTTACAACAGTTGGCCAGTATATTGCGCCAGACTATGAAAACCAAGACGAAGGTTAGGATATTAGTATTTCTATTTTTTTTTTCCTTTCTCCATTAACCTTGTTTTTTTGGATGATATGTATTTAATCTAGAAACTAAAATATTGTATGTTAGAGGTTGACTTGATCATTCATTTGGGTCTGATTCTAAACCACTCATTCTAGCCCTCGCTTAGCTTCTTAGCAGTCTGTACTCCACAGTTAATGTTGAACTTACCTTCAATTTTGTTTCATCTATGTTATCTATATGTCTAACTCTTTTTGTTTAGTTTATTTTGTCTATTTTTCCCTTGGTTCTGACTTCATTCTTTATGTAAGTACCACGTCACACTTTCTTTTATTTTTTCATTTACTGCACATTCTATTTTATACTTCGATAGAACTATCCTTCTTCGGTCATGTTCTTTGGTCATTGTCTGGGTGGTGCAACTTTGCTAGGTTCCTGTGACAATATGTGCATTTTCTTGTCAGAATGTGGTGGTGCTTTGTGCACTAGTTTGCTAGTTTGCTATCGCTTCTCAGAATATTTTGTCATCTACTTGGCATTTAGTTTATAAAAATGAAATAAATCTATTATAAATCCATAATACTTCTCAAGTATGTTTCTCTTTGCATTCTTATTTCTAGCACATCCGGTTTTAATTTTAATCTTTATTATTTACTAACCAGATCTTGGAAACATGGTTTGTGCTGACTATTTCATTGCATTTTTAATAACTTACCAGAGCATGGAAAAGTTATTCAACTCTCTTTGACGCGGGGCATCCAACGCCCAGGCGCATGAAGAATTTCCTGCATACGACGATCGGACGTAGTGTCCGGGTTGCTCGAACCGAAACTAGAGGCTCCTCTTTCGATTCCTTTCAAATTTTTAGCATGTTTCCTTTTAAACTTCCTTCCTTTCTAGTCCTTACCATACATATATATGAATATATGCATGCATGCATGCATTTTTTCTGTTGGGATCCAGCAGATACAGATATAAATATTTTCTGTTGGGATCCGGTTTCAAGCGATCGAGTGTTGCTCTCTTGCGGTCATCGCAGTTTCAGCTCTCCACCTTTTGCTGCCACCACCCAGAAATCCCTCACCTTGCTGTTTTACTGCTGCCCGACCATCCTCAATCGCTGCCGCTGCCACCACTCCGCCATCCAGCCTTTCAACCACTCTTTTACTACCTCTTGGGAGGTCGAAACCATCGCCAATCATCACCCCTAACTTGAGATCCACCCTAGTTTGAGTTTGATGTGTCGTGTCTGTTGCTATTTCTATTTCTGTTTGTGAGATTATAATTCTCTATTTTGATTTCAGCAATAATATCTTGTTTTTCCATAATTGTATTAGTTAACTCCTGTATCATTTTGTATCAGAGCTAGAGTTCCTAGCATCCACCACTATCCAACCCTACCTCCATACTAATCATGTTGTCGCAGAGGCAATCGCCAGAACTTGATTAGTTTACCATGAAAGAGTTGCAGCGACAGCTCCGCCGAGTGCTACAACGACTTCATGTTATTGAGGAACGGATCTATGGAGACGTCACCAACGAGCATGGGAGCGAGATCCGAAGAGGTGAGAGAGATGAAAACTTGAGTTCCTTCCATTGGGATGAATCCAGTGGAGAAGAAAACATGCTCTGATGATTTGGGATGCAGTATCAGAGGAGGCTTAGAGATGAAGTGCCTCTTAGAAAATATGAAGATGGCGTGTCTCTTACAGAACACATAGACAAAGTGGCTGTTGGGGGATACATAGATCAGGAGTCAAAGTGGACATATTGGATTTCGAGGGGAGAATAAATTTGAATGACTTGTTAGAGTGGTTGCAGACCGTCGAGAGGGTATTTGAATACAAGGAGGTGTCAGATGAGTTGAAAGTAAAACAAGTGGCTCTCAAGCTAAAGAAGAGCTTTTCGTTGTGGCGGGAGAACTTAAAGAGGGAGAGAAATAGAGAAGGAAAAAGAAAGATTACAATTTGGGAAAAGATAAAGAGAGAGTTGCGACGACAATACCTTCCCTCACACTACCTTCAAGATTTTTTTCTTGAGGCTTTACTACTTGCAGTAGAGGGAGCTATCAGTGGAGGAGTGCATTGTGTAGTTCATGCCAGCTTAAGCTGAAATGTGATTTGATGGAGCAAGAGAAGCACACGATAGACATGTACTTGGGAGGCTTGAAGCCCAACATCAACTACAATTTTAGTGGTCCTTGAGTGACGTTCAGACCTTAGCACTGAAGCTAGAGAGACAACAGAAGCATAACAGACACTTACTAGCATTCAGACAATTAACCACAGTTGTAGATATCAGTAGGAGCAGACCACCACTATCATCCCAACCAAGAAATGTCTTAGATGCGATGGTTTTGGACACATCATTTTCAGTTTCCTTACGAGCCAAGTTACATCCTTCACCGACTAGGGTGCAGTAGAGGAAATGAGCGACAAATTGGCAGCTAAAGAAAAGCGTGAGGAATATGATCTTCCATTGAATGAAGGCCAAATGCTTGTGTTTTGATGGGTCCTACAGACTTAGGCTACGAGATATCAACACTGACTTCAGTGCAACATATTCTAAATCTGTTATTTTGTGAAGGGAAAGGTATCCAGTTTCACAATTGATGGATGGTGCAACAAGAATGTGACACATATACAGATGGTTGGAAAATTAAACCTGACACTCCCAACCGTACTCTCTGATGTGGTGAGGAAGCGTAACAGAATCAACATCGATAGGAGATGTCTCGTAAAGTTTTCGATCGGAAATTAGCTGCACGATCATGTTTGGTGAGACGTATTGCCAATGGACCTTTTGTTGGGGAGACCGTAACAATTTGATTGTCGAACTCAATATGATGTGTTAAGAAATACCCATTCCTTCACCAAAGATGGCAATCACAGTCCTTCCTTCTACAAATTCCAAGATTACAGGTGCCTTTGCTAGCATAGTAGCGTTTATAGGATCGGTTTTTGTGATGACAGAGGAGAGCAGGATTGGAGAGTCTGTTTAATACACATGCCATCTAGTACAATTTTTAGAATGTTCTGTTTGATAACTTACCGTCATGATCGCTACCGTTCGGGGATACTCAAGTTGCCCTCACTTCAGATCAGGTTGAGCCAACCTGGGGTCAATTTGGAATGATTCAACAGAATATACGTGACATGCAGTCTCCATTCAATTCTATGGTGTACCCCGAAAAGGTTAGAACGATATGGATGGCTGCTCGTAAGTGGGGAAAACTCAAATGTTTTGGGAGACAGTGCTACTGACAATAGCATCCAGACATTTCTAGACGCTCAGTTGGAGATCCTTCAGCCCTAGGAGGTTACAATAGCTTCATCACTCTTAACGTGCAGACATAAGCTTCGAAGAAGCTTCCCTAACCTCAAGAGACTGACGCGGAGGCTCCAACACCCTGAAGCATGCTGGATCGCACCTAACACTTGAGATTTCCCGCAAACAACAAACAGAAGCAGCGTCCGGGTCTCACGAACCAAACCGAGCGGCTACTCTTTTGATTCCTTTCTAATTTTTAGCACGTTTTCTCTTATCATTCTTTCCTTTTTAGTTCATTTTAGTCCTTTTTTCGTCTTTTATGGTCTAAACTATAAGCATGTGTTTTATTAAGGTTTGGATTTCAATTTTGGCATATGTTTTTTGTTGGTAGAGCCGTCGGCGTCCTCTTTCTCCTTTCTAGGATTGTATCTAACGGCGGGTGGTGCTTCCGCTGTAGCTCGTTCCCTCAAAATGTCTATTCCAGACTTTTCCATTCTTCGCATTCCTTCTTTCACTGCTGCTGCCATTCCCGGCCTTCTGCTTCATTGCCGTCACTGCTCCTGCCGTCCACTTTCTCTGTCACAGCCCAGCTAATGTTTTATGTTGATTTTTACCATTATTCGGCTGGCCTCCATTGCTGCAGCCATCCCCCAACAGCCTCCTGCTTGCTGTTTTCTGCTGTTCCAACTGCCGAAAACGCCTTTCTCTTCCTCGTTTTCATCACAGTTCCAGACTTCCACCTTTTGCTGCTGCCACCGAAAAATCCCTCGCCTTGCTGTTTTACCGCAGTCCGACCATCCTACATCGCTGCCGCAGCCCAGGACAACACTTTTCTTGTTGTTTACCTGCTGCCCAGCCCCTTGCCCTTGCTGCAACTGCCTAGGACAGCCCGCCGTCTCGCTGTTCTGATAGTTTCTCACCTTCCCTTTGCTGCCACCATCGTCCGCTTGCTGCCGCTCCACCATCCACCCTTCCGACTGCCCTTTTGCTACCTCTCCAGAGGTCCAAACCCTTATCAATTACCACTCCCACCCTGAGATTCACCCTAATTTGAGTTTGTTGTGTTGTGTTGGATGCTATTTCTATTTTCGTTTGTGAGATTGTAATTCCCTATTTTTAATTCAACAGTAATATATTACTTTTTTGTTGTTGTTTGGTTTAACTCCGATATCACTCCTTAATTCTTTTCCTGATTGTCTAAGACTTATAGAAGTTATGAACTTCTATGAGATCAAGTTATTTGATGTTAATTCACAGCTAGCATCATGCCGTCTGTTTCTGGCAGTCTAGTATTCTATTAAATAATTATCAGTATCGTATAAGCAGAGGCTCAATTTGTTTAATTATTCCATGTGCAGGAAGACCTCAACAAGATACACAATTGGCAGTATATTCATTGCATTAGTCTTTGGGTGAATTTTATAGATTGTAACCTGAAGGATCAAGATCTTCAGCCGCTGCTCTCCTTATCTATTCTAATCATAAAAGGAATAGCTCATTTATTTCCCGGTCTCCGATACGTGCCTCTAAGATTTAGATGTGTTCAGATGCTCAATCAACTCTCTTTTTCTAGTGGTGTGTTTATTCCTGTTGCCTCTCTTTTCTTTGACTGTTTGGACAATAAAGGTTCTACCGCCGATGGTGCTCGTGTGAAAGCATTTGATTTTTCAACCATGCTAAAGGTGAGTAACGACTTTATCCCCTGATATTAAACAAACAAACAGAAAACAAAAAAATATTACCTGATACTCATTTTACTTGGCATTCCCATAAGTGCCCTTGTAGTGTATATTATTTATATGTAATAGATCCCTCTATTCTTTGATTGTCTTGTTATAAGCATGTTTTCACCATGTGTAATTAATCACATTGTATGTCCTTCAATTAAATTGAAACAGAGGTAAATTGGAATCCTTTGTAAGCTTCATATCTACTATATGAATGAATTGGTGCGAAAATCTAAGTTTTAATGTATAAATTCAGAGCCTTTTCACTTTCTTACCAAAGCCATGAAGTTTGAGGAAGTGTTGTTAACTTGTTTGAGATTTCTATTTTATACCCTACTAGATTTCGTATCACTCTTATGGTTTCAAACTTGTTTAATTCAGGTGCCGAAACGTTTGTTGAAATCACGTAATTTTCAGGAGGAGTGTATCCTCTCTGCAGTTGAACTAATTTCAGCACATTTTTCGCAATGGAGATATCATATATCTTTCCCTGAGTTGGTAACTATTCCTTTGATGTTATTCAAGAGATTCCATGAAAACTTGAGTAATGAGACACTTCGACGGCCGGTGAAACACTTTATAGATCAGGTATGAACTGAACCAACTGGCTTGCCTTCTTCTAACATTTAAAGCCTGTCATTTAACAAGCAAGTTCTCTAATTATCGAGTTTTTGGGTTAAATCTCCAGTTATTCTGATGTGGCCAATTAAATCTTAAGAGTTTTGTAGTGCTCAAATTTAATTCCTCGATGGTTGAGAATTGATCTCAGTTGGTCCTTTAGAGATTAAATTGAGATCAATTTTGTACATTCGAAGGACTAAATTAAGATCATTTTTTTATCATTATTTCTACACATGTTAATTTTCGTATCAACTTTCAATGACGAGGGGCTAAATTTGAGCACTACAAAAACTCAGGGACTAAATTGTGCCATATTTGAATTGTCATGCAACCATTTTGGGATTTGATCTTAAAAGTATTCTTAGTTTTGTTTTAGTAAAACTAGATGAATGTTATCATGACTGAACTTTCGACCAATCCCCAACTACAAATCCAGCCCTATATCACTTTGCTGCAGTCAATAGATTTTCAAGGTGATATATATTTATTTTAAATTTCCAAATAATAACAATGCTAGAACCAGTGTATCTTCATATATTACAAGTTCATCTTTCCATCCTAGTAAGAGAATTTATGCTTTGCATTTTTAATCAGAAGTAAATTGTGTTTTTGGTTCAGACTAGATTCTCTGAATGTTTTGGCTAGTTGAATCTATTAATTGTTGTTACCTGAATATTATTCTTTTTGAATTCCCTTATCAGGTCGAAAAAAATAAAGAATATATTGAGAGGAGAAGAGATGAAATTTCTTTCTCACCCAGTGATAATGCGGCCATTGATTCATTCCTTCAGGTGTGCATTCAAATTCATTCATCCCACTTGTAATAATAATTACCAGTTAAAAAAATTCAATTTTTATGGTATCTGTTTTGCAGCTGGAGAAGAATTGTTCCAATTCAAACTGTTCTTTCAGTCAGTACTATGCTAGCTTACAACAGAAGTCCCACTCCAGAAGTAAGAATGCTAATTTAAATATTTTGTAAGATAGCCCTCTTGTTTTGTTATTTCACAAAATGAACCTTTTTATAGTTTCCTTAATTTTCTCAGGCAATGCACATTTACTTTCCTGTACATCAAACTGAATTTCCACTGAATTAGAGATGAAGCTATTAGAAAGGCTCAACTCTCATGGTCTGATTACTTCTACTTATTCTGTGCATTGCAGACAGTGCAGTTAGTTTAGAGAGTAGTGGGCCCACAAAATTGAATTTTCTCTCTTTTACAGAGCTGCATTCACAAAACGGACCACCCAAAACTTACTATTTACAAATCAAACACCCTATTACATCCATTTTTCAAAATATCTCTCAAATATCAAAATTACCCATATTTTTCATTTTTATCAACCGGTCTGTATGTACTTATCCATATTTTTGGAAATTACTTACAGACCACCCAAAACATACTATTTACAAATCAACCACGCTCTTTCATCCATTTTTCAAATTCTCACTCAAAAATGAATTTCTCACTCAAATATAAAAATTCATGGTACATCCCCGACTCATATTTTTCATTTTTATCAACTGGTCTGTATGTAATTATCCTTTTTTTTTTTTTAAACTCATTTGGCTCCATCTATGATTTGAGCTATTTTCAGTAGGCAAAATGTGGAGTTTTTGGATTGAATGGCAAAATGCATGGGATAGGTTACTAAATAACTACCTTCTTTTTATTATTTGCAACTCTTTTACACTTGTGAGCTTTATGTGATGTCTTCTGAGTTGCGGAGCCATATGATAACAAGATAGAAAGCAGTCATACAAAGTACTTTCCATCTCATCTTGCAAATAAAGGTGCGCATTTGGTTGGATTGATGGGCAAATTTGTTAAATAAATCGGATAAAAAACAAAATCTGTGAAATCATTGGTAAGACTGGATCGTTATCTAATTCGGTTTGACCCGTTTTAACCGGATTTTGAAAAGAAAGCTAAGGGATTTGATTTTGATGATACCAAAATCAAAATCACACCCTTTATATATATATAAATGAAATTGGTATTTGAGAGAGACCCAAATATCGGTTTTCCATGCGCTGAGGGGACTTTTTGAATATATGGAGAAAATAAGAAACCCTTTATATATATATATAAATGAAATTGGTATTTGATAGGAACCCAAATATCGGTTTTCCATGCGCTGAGGGGACTTACAATTAACCCCGTAAACCAATAGATCAGGGCTTGCAACACTATATATCTATATATATATATATATATATTCCGCTTATGACATATATTTATCTGCTTTAAGTTATGAAAATATATATATATATATGTTTGAACTTGGAATGGAAATTTTAAATAAATGTTAATTTAAATAAAAAATATACTGCTTTTAATAAAATGAATCATTTCAGCTAAATATAAGTAGATCCATTTTGTTTTTTTTAATTGGTTTAAGTTAATGAACGCACAGCTTTAATTACAGTTGTTTATTATATTAAAAATCGTAAATTGACATTACGGTAGTTTATTGAGTATCAAACTTCAGCTTTACCTCTTATGTTTTACTCATCTAAATATATTCAGCTCAGTTAAATTCCTATTAATACTCATTTATTTGCAGTTTGGGATATGATTTATTGTCTTAAATTGATCAATCATGTATTGTAAATGTTAATTAATCATCAAACTTTAGCTTTACTTATATTTTAGTCGATAGGATGTTGGTTTAGCTGCATCCTGCATGAATCTTCTTTGATTTCCATTTTTAGAATATGAAAGCCATTATTAAGCTACAGAGCACAACTTATAAATCATCAGATTGAAAAAGGCATATAATTTCTAAAGCTGTTTTGTAGCTCTGAAGCATTCAATATGCTATGAGTTTGTGATATTTTTCTTCCCATTAGCCTAAAGAAATCCATAGTTTTTTCTTCATATTTTTTCACAATGATAATTAAACATGTGTTAAGAATAGTTGTTCTCTGCTTTGACAAGCAACCATGCAACCTACAATATTGAATAAAGTGAGTGTGAGCCATTATTCAAGCCTTCCTAAGAGCCATCCAACCATGAGATGATGAGCCTTGAGAGAATAGTTTCTCTATGCCAAAGCTAATCAAGCCAATGCCAATTTGGAAGGGAAGAAAATAAGGCCATTTTTAGGCCATTACAACAAATACCAAAGATGTTTTAGAGCAAAAACCCAAGCACAATTGTGAATAATTTGACTAATGTCATCACTATGAGGGTGACAAATAATTGAAAATATGATTTGCAAGTAACTCTATAAGGCTTTTGCTACCTATTGATCATAAAATAAGGAATATAATGACCATTTTGATATAGTAGGTGATCCAATTTCTAAGTTTGTAGGCCATGATACATGCTTTTCCAAAAATTAAAAAAAGATGCTTGAGCTAGAGAACTGTCCCATATAGAAGGTTAGTATTGTTTGTACTAAAAGTTTAGCTTACCTTAATTATGAGGGATGTTCAAATTAAATTTAGTTTTGAAAGATTGATTGACAAATGATACATAAGGTAAATCATTGGGAATCTAAATAGTGTTTTAATAAATAAGGTGAATCTTTTTTTATCCTTACAATACTAAATAAATTAGGAACTGTGGGCTTTGAAAGTACACATTAAGTAAGACAATGGATTGAAGGGTGTTTGTATATTTTTATTTTGAGTTCTTAATTGAAAGATGAATTGGACATAAACCCAATGCTAATAAGTATGATGGGATTTACAAATTGAACCTCAATGATGGCTAAATAAGCTTATCATATAATCATCATTAAGAAGCTTGACATGGCTAAATAAATTTAGCATATAATCATCATTAAGAAGCTAGACTTATAACCTTATCACCAAAGCACAAGTAGCCTAATCATGAGGGTTATGATGTGAACATGACTATGTACATTTTTTTTAGTTATTTAATCCTTCAAATGTGAGTTAATATATTAATCTAACATGCCACTGGTAGGGATTGCATTTGTTTATATCACTAGAAGGAATTTGTCGATCTATGTTGATCACAACATCAAATAGACAATTGGTTAAATTTTGATTGCACATTAATGAATTGCAAGAGGAGTTTAATTTTCTTAGAATCTTGGCATGGAGAAAATCCTTGCATTAAATTTTAGTAAAATAAATATTTATGATTGATTTTATCTTCCTTTTATATTAAAGTAAAAAAATATTATGAACCCCATGAAAGAAAATTACTACCAATGATGATATAGTAAAACAAATTTGGTAAAATCATATAGTTTTAAAACACATAATATACATGATAGATTATATAAATTCTACGAATATATTGGGACTTTGCAATATACAATCAAAATTTTATTTTATACGTAAATATGAATGATGTGTCAACGTCCTCAATATTATCTTGCATTTAGTTCACTTTTGAGATTTTGCCATCAAGATTGGCCTAGACGCGTGTATAATTTATTAAACTAAAATGTACATAACAAAAGTAAGAGCAAAAAGATATAGTTGCATACACCTAGACTTCCTCAAAACTTTTATTTATCCTATCATAAGACTTTGTTAAGTAGATATGCTTCCTAGGACACTATAAGAAAAATTTCCATCATAGTGCACATTATTACCACCAAGCATCATTGGCTATCCAACATTTAAGTGCAAGCCGTGCAGTGCATGGGCTAAGGGCATTCTCGAAGATTGTTGATGGGATCATCAAGTCTGGTCCCATATCAAGCGTCTAAGCGAACTAATATCCGTCACACTGACGACAAATATTAGTTCACTTAGAGGCTTGGAATAATTCTAAAGGATCTGGTAATAATAAGATAATTCACTTCATTTACTTAGATAAGCCAACATGTGATATTTTTTTTTAATCACTACATATTTATTATAGTGTTTAGTGATCTCTAAAAGTTCCTCATAGAAGGCCAAAGGAAGGGGGGGTGGGGTGCTTAGCTGCGAAAAAATCCAACACCCACCTCTCTTAAATAGAAAAATTAGGTGTAGTGCCACAATATTAGATCTGGCCTCTATGGTACTGTTGACACGATAGTGCCACATTGATTGACCAGAGAGCAATTGTGTCATGTCATATAAAAAATGGGGTTTATCATTTAATGGGTCCCAGATAGAGGTTATGTTGCAGCTTTACTAACATGACTGCAACACTGCTAACCTAGCAGCGCCACATCAGCCATCTAGATAGCAATCATGCTACTACCCTTTGAAGCATGTTAGATAGGAATGTCATTTAGCACCTACACTGTACCTGCAATATAGTGGAACTTTGGCATTGCTGACATGGAAGTGCCACATCAGTGGATATGACAGTTATCGCACTGTGTTGCACTAACACATATTAAATGAGAATCATCTTTCAACATATGATGTTAGTCATAAGTGGCATTATGACAACACTGACATGGTTGATGCCAACTCAATAGTCATCAATACATCCACCAATCAGTTGCCAGCCTCAGATTTGTGGGAGTTGACTTTATCGCCATGTGTCACTTTGTGGTGTTGCTAAGTGACATCATGGCTTTATGGATATGAAAATCATCATTGATAGTAATACAACACCAGGCCTTGGCATCATGACACTATCAATGTATCAAATAAAATCAATCAAGAAAGAATCCTAAGGTTGAGGCCTTGAGCCTCTAGCATGGTGGTACCACTCATAGGTGTTGTGGCGCTCGACAATAATGTTGTAGTGCTAGTTCTATAATCCTAGAGCAATTATTCTGGTATGCTCGATGGCATGGTACTTAAAGCGCAACACTAAGGCTCTAGTGGCATGACACAATGGCGCGACATAGTGGAGCCACAATAGTAAGCTAAAATTTAATATTTTTTGTGCATGGTAAAAATGTTTCAATACAACCACAAAATATTACATGAATGCTAAAATGTCCATAATAAGATGAATACAACAAAACAATAATTTTTTTGATATAAAAGCTTTTACATGCATTTTGAAAATCATTGCTTAAAGGAAACAAAAACATATAAGAAAAACTAGTAAAAGGGGCTTAATACTCCACTCCCATGTCCTCTCTTGCATCTTAATCATCTTTGTTGCCTTTCACTGTGCAACTAGACCCAACCTCCAAATTAAGAGTGTAGAGAGGAGGTTCAGGGAAGCTTAATTGGCTGGCCATGAGGTACTACCCAAAAATGCGAGTTGACCAGATGAACTACTGCTGATGTTAACGATCAATTTGGCTGACTTGACAGTTTAGAGAGGAGTCATCATCTCAAAGCTCCCAAATTTGCTCGGCCAAGAAGCGAAGCCTAAAGGAAGAAGCAGGAGGGAAAAGAGGTGCGAGCTCCCCTACCTCTTATAGGAGCGTATGCTAGCCTTCGTGATCACATGCTCGTGAGCCATATGCTATTCCCTCTTACTTTCTGAGAATACCACTTTGACACGCAAATCATAAATGAGTGTTAGTTGACCGATCCCCACG